CAGTCTAACAGTCAAAAAAATAGGAAAACATCCTACTTATTACCTCTTGCTTCTCTATTTCTTTCCACTTTTCTAGTTCAACCTAGCTTCCTACTCTTACTAACCCTATTCCCTATTTTTTTGTTTTTGTTTTTGTTTTATGAATGCTGCCTTAGTACATTATGTCTGCAGCATCTCAGGGTAAGAAAGCTTTTATACCTTGGCAACCTACTTGGGACTTTTATTTTTAATACAAAGACTATATCTGCATAATTTAGTTTTCACTGGGATTTGTCTAGACCCAGACTTCCTATTCTAATTCAAGCGAGGAAGCAATATGAGCAAGCCTGAGGTGAAGAAGAGTTCTTCCCCAGGAAGAGCAAGTCTTGATTAGGAAGCCTGGTGATTTAATAGCCTGGCTGAAGCGTAAAAGAAAAAAAAAAGGAGCTTTGCCTCATTCATGCTCACAGTGCCTGCCTCCTTAGAGACATGAGATAGCGAGCAATCTTCTCTTTTGTGGAGTGAAAGAATTGGACTCTGTAGTTGCCTCCCATCCTAACACTGTAGAATTTCATGATAAAGAAGGAATGTCTTAGATGTTTCTGTTAGCTGCTTTATTTTTCTGTTTTATAAGTTGAATACGAATAGATTGTAACTTAAATATTGAGTTTCTCCTCTCAAAATATATTATTTTTTTCTTCCCTAAGACATAATGGCGTAGGTCATGGGGAGTTGCCTTGCTAATCCAAAGGTGCTTTGAATTCACCAGCAGCTCTGCTGAAGAAAGAAGAGCTATCTCCTCTCCTAAGATTTACAGACTCTGTAAACCTGCTGTAGAGTCAGCTGTGAACTGGTTCCAACTTGATGGCAATGAGTTTTTTAAGTGTCAAATAATTATTGATAAGTAAAATTTTGTTCTATTAAAATCTTCCTTGGAAGGGGCAGTTTATAATAGAAGTAATTCTATTCTATCATTTTCTAGTAATATATATTCTATTACTTATAATAGTAGTATTCTAAACTATTATTTTTATTATTTTGTTGTCTTATAAGAGAAATAATTATCTCAATAATTTGCTTCTGTAATATCACACAGAAACAGAATTTATATCCCTAGAAATAACCAAATCCAAAAGATTCCAACCCCTGGTCCCTATGTCAGACCAGCAGCATCAAAATCACTGTTTGTTGCTGCTGCTGCTGTTGTTATGTGCCATCGAGTTGCTGCAACTCATAGCAACCCTATGTACAATAATTCGGAAGCCTGCCTTACCCTGAGCCAGTCACACTGACTCTAACATGCCTAATCCCATCTCCCCAGTTATTGTATCGTTCTATCTTACCCGGGGTCTTCCTCTCCTGTGCTGTCCTTCCACCATTATGAGCATGATATCCTTCTCCAAGGACTGGTCCTTCCTGGCAACATGCCCAAAATATGTGAGACTGACCTTCAAAATCCTAGCCTCAAAGGGGAAACTTGTTTTAACGCATTCTCCTGGCAGTCTATGGTATGTTCAAGACTTCTTCAGCACCACAACTCAAAGGCATCAATTCTTCTGTCATCTTTAGCCATTGTCCAGCTCTCTTTTGCACAACATGTAATTGTGAAGACCATGGTCTGGACCAGGTTCACCTTAGTCTCTAGACTGACATCATTGCTCCTCAGCACTCTGGAGAAGTCCCTGACAACAAACATACCCAATGCAACTCATCTTTTGATTTCCTGACTGCTGTCAAGAGTGTTGATTGTGGAGTCAAGCAAACTGAAATTGTTAGCAACTTCAGTCTCTTCTCCATCCATCATGAAGCTGCCAATTGGCCCAGTGGTGAGAATCTTTGTTTTCTTGATGTTTAGCTTCCATCTATATTGAAGACTATAATCCTTGACCTTCTGCAACAAACACATCAAGTCCTCCTGAGGTTTGGCAAGCAGAGTTGTATCATCTGCATAGCTCAGGTTATAAATGAGTCTTCCTCCAATCCTGCTGCCACACTCCTCCTGATAAAGTCCAGAGTCTCAAATGATCTGTTCCACACATAGATTGAAAAGGTATGGAGACAAGAATTATCCCTGACTCACTCCTTTCCTAGTTTTGAATCATGCAGTGTTTCCTCACTCTGTTCTGATGACTGCCTCCTGTTCCAAGTACAGGTTTTGCATGAGCACAATCAAGTGTTCTGGGATTCCCATTCTTCTCAGGGTTAGCCACAATTTGTTGTGCTCTACAGAGACAAATGCCTTTGCATAGTCAATGAAGCACAGATGGACATTTCTCTGCTACTCTGCTTTCAGCCAAGATCCATCTGACGTTGCTGATAATGTCTCTGGTGCCACAGCCTCTTCTAAATCCAGCTTGTATTTCTGGTAGTTATCTGTTAATGTACTGTTCCAGTCATTTTTGGATAATCTTCATCAAGAGAATTTTTAAAATATTTATTCTCTCGCAATTCTTTCAATTGAAAGAATTTGTTCTTTCAATTTGTTCTTTGTTCTTAAAAAAAACAATATATTCGTATTTTGTAAATAAACTCATAAAAATTTTAAAAAGCAAATAAAAAGTAAAAAGAACTATTTCTTCTCAGAGCTTTTCTTGGAGATTCTGATAAACATACGAAGGCCAAAAGAATCTATATTTAAGTAATTCTCAATTCTATTTGGGAGCTCTAGTGAGCTAGTGGGTAAGAAAGTATGCTGCCAATCCTAAGGTTCTCAGCCCAAATTCACCTGCTGCTCCATGGAGAGAGCTGAGTAATCTTCTCGATATATTCAGTACTCTTCTCCAGCACCAAAGTTCAAAGGTATCAATTCTCCATCTATCATCCTGAGCCATTGTCCAGCTTTCTGATGCATAGCACATAATTGTGAAGACCATGACCTGGATCAGGTGCATCTTAGTCTCCAGACTTACATTTTTGCTCTTCAGTACTCTGAAGAAGTCTCTGACACAGACTTTCCCAATGCAATTCATCTTTTGATTTCCTGGCTGCTGGTACCAAGAGTGTAGACTGGAGTCAAGCAAACTGGAGCTGTTAATAATCTCAATCTTTTTACCATCTATTATGATGTGGCCTGTGTTTTATTTCACTATTATCTCTGACTCAGTTATGAACACTTGAAGGATGGTCAACAAGATAATCAGACACCACCTAATTTTTCTGGTCTCAGGGTAATGAAAACAATCCAGGCCCAGATTACTTCACTTACTAATTTTGCCAATATTTTTAGGATCTAAACAATACTTATTCTATATAATCTTCACTATTCAACTAAAAGGCAGAGAATACTTAGCTCAATCTTTTAAATCCACACTTATCTTGATACCAAAACCAGACAAAATTATTATAAGAAAAGTAAGTTCCTGTGCACTCAGTTAAAAAAAGAAAACATCAGATTGAAATGCTCATAAAGGCAGATGTAAAAATGCTTTTTAAAATTAAGAAATCAAGCTCAATGACATGTAAAAATTAAAGAACATAATTGACATGTGGGATTTACTGTAGGGGTCCTGAAGTTCACACAAGTGAGAAGAGATGGAGCCAGAGAGTCTAGAGACAATGTCTGCATTTGTCTTCATATTACTTAGCCACTTAATGAGAATGAGTATTTATTAAATGCATTTGTGACTGAGCAAATATGATCATGAATAAAAGACAAATATCTAAATGTCACTGAGAGGTACAGGGTCATCAAAACCAAAGAAAGAGAACAATATAGAAAAAGCAGATTTTCCTAAAGCAGTTCATCTTTTAATTTCCTGGATGCTGCTTCCAAGAACTCTAATTGTGGAGCTAAGCAAGCTGTAACTGTTAACAATTGCAATCTTTTCTCCGTCCATCATGGTGCAGCCAAGAAGTCTAGAGGACAACTAACTGGACAACTGACTGCAAGAGATCCCTATTTATTCCCATTTCAAAAAAAGGTGACCCGACAGTGTGTAGAAATTATCATACAATATCATTCATATTACAAGCAACCAAAATCCCGCTGAAGATTATCCAGAAATGACTGGAACAGTACATTGACAGAGTAATACCTGAAATACAAGCTAGATTTAGAAGAGGTCGTGACACATTATTGCCAATGTCAGATGGATCTTGGGAGAAAGCAAAGAATACCAGAGAGATACCTTATCTGTATTTTATTGACTACACAAAGGCATTTGACTGTGTGGAGTACAATAAATTGTGGTTAACCTTGAGGAGAATGAGAATCCAAGAACACTTGATAGTTAGTGCTTATGCAAAACCTATACTTTGAACAGGAAGAACCTTGCTTGCTGAAATTGAGGAGGACCTAAAGCACTTGCTGCATAAGGTCAAGGACTGTAGTCTTCAATATCAACTGAAGCTCAATATCAAGAAGACAAAGATTCTCATCACTGGGCCAATTGGCAGTACCGTGATGGACGGAGAAGAGTTTGAGGTTGTTAACAGATGCAGCTTGCTTTGTGTTGTAATGAAATCAAAACACAGGCTAAATTCATCTACATTTAAAACTAATTTTCTCAAATGAATACATGTATGTAGCTTTGTCCTGTTAGTTCAAAGGCTCAAGCTTATCAGAGATCACGAGGACGAAGATCTGTGTTGTTCATCTAGTCGCTAGGAGTCATAGGCGACTGGACTGCACCTACCACAGTGCCCACACAATCCTAGACTTTCAGGAACCTAGATAGGAATTTAACAGATGGTGCGGAAATTGAGGCCAAAGGAGGGATGGAGGTCATAAAGCCACTAATGATCACACAACGACTACAAGTTCAGAACCCTTGACTTTCCTACGCGAGGCCAAGAAGGAAATAAGCACCAGGAAAGAGATTTAAAGAACAGCTCTCAGAAGGTCGATGGGCTGGGCATCGTGTAGCCTGATGACTAAGACAGTCACACCCGACCACTGAGCAGCCAGGAAGGGTCCCCAACACCTCCTACTCTCGCGATACCGGGCGGCCCGCGTCTTCCGGGCTAGGCCCCGCCCAGCACGCTGTCTTCATTTCCTGTAGGTCTGCGGGCAAAAGGAGAAGATGGCGGCGCTGGGAGAACCTGTGCGGCTGGAGAGGGGTGAGTGCGGCCATGGCTGGACGGGAGTGCGTGGAGAGGTTGGCAGTGTCCGCTGGCACTAGAGAGGAGGAGGGGCACCCTAAGCTCTAGTACCCGAAAGCTGAGCTGTCCCTCGCACTGGCTTCGGCGACGACCGCCATTGCTGCCCCGGGCCCCGGGGGAGGGCCCCTGCGGTCTCTTGATTGATGCTCATTCGCCGCCTCTGCTCGCAGGGACTGTCCTGAGGCTTAATATAGTGACACACAACCTGCTTGTGTTTTTAGATGCATATCACACACCCACTTCTGGGTGGGCATAGCAGACGTTGGGAGACACGTTCAGAGACGTGTAAACCCGAGAAGCGGTTCTTAACAGACACCACTGCTGCTATATATACACGCACAAACCCGTTCTCCGCCGTCACTAACAAGTGCCAGGCTTTCCAGACACATCGTGGTTTCCACGGAACCCCGTGATATACACTCTTAATAATCCGACCTTTATTTTTTGCCACCCCACGTGTATCTAGGATGAAATAATTCATGCCTTTAGTGTAGCTGTTGGTGTATTAATTTGGTCTTGGAAAGGTTACATAACTTAGTTACATAGAACAGCGGTAAATTGTAAAATGCTTATGGTTGTAATCTTAACTGTACAAACCTAATTTGCTAGCTGTGGTTTGTTTCCCTCTTAGGAAAGATGTCAAGGAAATTAGTATCTGTTCTGCTGAGTGGGTAGTGTGAAAAGCTTGTTAAAATCCCTTACTATGCACCTAGACAGGTCCTACTACAAATTTCTATATTCTACAATTTCCTTCTTAAACTTCCTCCCCCAAAAACAATTACAAGTATACTCATGACTCTACAGTCTTAGAAATTATTACCAATAATTAAGGAATACAGAATGAAAAAAATCGAGTACTAATAGTAAATTGGGTGGTGCAAACTGGTTGCCCTAGACTACTGACTTTGGTGACAGGTACCCGCCCCTAACACTAGTGCATGTATCTGTTTGTATAAAAGTTAGAGCCAAAAAAAACCAGTATAGGTATAGTTTTACTCTATGATTGTGAGGCTTAGTTGACTGGGTGACCTCAGGTTAATTGGGATATAATATAGAAATTATCTTGCAGTGGAACAATGAATGAATGAAAACCCAAAATCTCTGTAAATGTTCATTAAAACGAATAAAATTTAATTTTAAAAAAAACAAAAAAGAAAGAAATTATCTTGCCAATATTAATAATTCGTAGTTACAGTCTGCCTGCTAAGTAACATTTTCTAAGAAGGGAATGCATTTCTAGGATTAGTAATTCCTCATGTCATCACACATTCTTACAATTATTCTACTTCCTCATACCATCACAAACAAACGCATACTTAGCATTTCTGTTTTGTTCTTGATGGTGTTCAACTTTTAGAAACCTCTTTTTAAGTGAGATTGTATCTCTTCAACCCACCAGGCTATTAATTAAAGCATCTTTTTTGACAGAGGAGTAGCTGCTCTGGGAAGAGTTGCTAAGTTAAGACTAGGACTGTGACATCTTCCTCCAGAATACAAAAGCACTGTGCTTTGTAGCTTGGAACAAATCTGTTTGGTGTTAACAAGAGTAGGTGTTCTTCTTTGAAAGCTTGCTATAGCATTCGTCTATGTTGGCGGTCTTTTGTCTTTTTTTTTTTTAAGTGCAGCACAAAATAATTTGGAACTTCACATCTGACATCTAGTTTGGATAATCATAGTTCCTCTTCTTCTTTCTGGAGATGCCCCCTCTTTCAGTTACACAATGAGGTGTTAATTAACAGGATTACTGTTCGAATCCACCAGATGCTCTGCCGGAGAAGGAGGAGCAATATCCTCCTGTACCAGTCATCTGATTTGACGGTACATGCACACAAAATAATAAAAAGAAGAAAAAAAAATTAACAGGATTAATTACAAGTGGTAACCATTTAGAGGGGATAAAAGGTAAAATTACATCAGTTCTGATTCTTATTTGTAATTCTTTTCAACAGATTTTATTCATTAACAGTTGCAGCCATTTTACAATTGTACTTAAATGTATTTAAAATTGGTGTACCTGACCAAGATCATGAGTGCATTCTAAAATCATTAAAATGTGAGGCCTTGAAACACTTACCTCCGTTGGGTATAGTTCAGGTTACAATAGAGTGTTTTGAATTTTGCTAGGTTTTTGTAAATTGGAAGTTTTTATAAGGCTTATATGCTGCTACGTTATAAATGAGAACTGATCGTTAGCCATCCTTGTGTGAGAAATCAGAATGGCGGTTTGTTTTCACTGCATTTGATTGATACCAGTTTATGCTTTAATCAGCAGTCATGAAGATGGCAGCGTACCAAGCAATCCTTGAGTCACAGTTGGCTTGACAGCAACTAATAAATACAATGTTTTTATTATCTGAAATTTAAAGATCTTCCCCTTTGTATGTTGCATCCCTTCTTTTCTAGTTGCAAACATAAAGACCAGGTAATTCCAGTAAAAATAATTTTAAGTTACATGACATTTCTTCAGTATAACATGAAATTTATAATTTCTTCCATTTAAATCAAGGAGGTACGGGAATGGTAGAATAATATTTTAGCTCCCTCCGGTAAAAAGGATAATCTTCAGCAGGATTTTGCTAGTGCGCGATATTGTTCAGTAATTTCCACACTCTGTCAACAGGTCACCTTTTTTAGGAATTGGAATAAATATGGATCTCTTCCAGTCAGTTGGCCAAGTAGTCCTCCAGATTTCTTGGCACAACTTGGTGAGCCCATACAGGGCAGCATCTGTTTGCTGAAATACATCAGTTGGTATTCCATCAATTCTTGGCGCTTTATTTTTTGCCAAGTCCTTCAGAGCAGCCTGCACTTCCTCCTTCATCACCATTGCCTCTTGATCATATGTTGTTTCTTGAAATTCTTCTGTGTCAGCCAATTATTTTTGGTACAATGACTCTGTATACTCCTTCCATCTTTTAATGCTTTCCAAATAATTCATATTCTGCCCATAGCATCCTTAAGTGTTGCAACTCGTGGCTTGAATTTATTCTTTAGTTCTTTCATCTTAAATGCTGTGAGAGTTCGGCCCTTTTGATTTTCTAACTCCAGCTCCTTGCACATTTCATTATAATATTTTGCCTTTTCTTCCCTAGCAGCCCTTTGAAATCTTCTATTTAGCTCCTTAACTTCTTGATTTCTTCCCTTAACTTTGGCTTCTCGGTGCTCTAGTGCAATATTCAGAGTCTCTTCTGACATCCGTTTTGGTCTTCTTCCCTCTTTGTAATGACTTCTGTGGCATTAGGGACATTATTGCCAATGTCAGATGGATTTTGTCAGAAAGCAGAGAGTACCAGAAGAATGTCTGTGTTTCATTGACTATGCAAAGTTTTTGACTGTATGAATCACGATAAATTGTGGCTAGCCTTGAGGAAAATGGGAATCTCAGATTGTGCTTATTTGAAACCTATACTTGGACCAAGAAGCAGTCCTCAGAACAGAGCAAAGAAACACTGCATGGTTCAAAATCAGGAAAGGAGTGTGTCAGGGATGCATCCTCTCCCCATACCTTTTCAATCTGTATGCAGAACAGCTTATTAAGAAGCAGGGCATAATGAGGAGGAGTGTGGCATCAAGATTGGAGGAAGATTCAGTAACAACCTACAATATGCAGATGGCACAACTTTGCTTGTTTAGTTTCAAAGAAGACCTGAAGCACTTGCTGCAAAAGGTCAAGGACTGTAGTCTTCAATATGGATTGAAACTCAATATCAAGAAGACACAGATTCTTACTACTGGGCCAATTGGCAGCACCATAATAGATGGAGAAGAGATTGAGGTGGTTAGCAATTACAGCTTGCTCAGATCCACAGTCAGCACTTTTAACACCAGCAGTCAGGAAATCAAAAGACTAATTGCATTGGGGAAAATCTGCTGTCATGGATCTCTCCAGAGTGCTAAAGAGCAACGATAGCAGTCTGATACAAAGGTGTGCCTAATCTGGGCCATGGTCTTCTCAATTACTTGTTTTGGGCTGTGTTGTTTGTTTGTTTTATTTTAATGAACATTTACATAGATTTTTTAATTTCCATTCATTCATTGTTGCCTTTTTCTCCCTGCCCACCACTCCCCCCCATCAGTTACTTGTGCTTCAGAAAGTTGGACAGTGACTTAAGGATGACAGAAGAAGAATCAATGTCTTTTGATTTATGGTGCTAGAGGAGAGTCTTGAACATACCATGGACTGCCAAGAAAACAAATAGGGCTATCTTGGAGAGGGTGAAACCAAGTCTTTCCTTGGAGGCTAGGATTTTGAAGCCTCACCTACTTTGACCACGTAGTCAGGAGAGATTGGTCATTGGAGAAGGACATCATGTTCAGAAGGGTGACAGACAGCACAGGAGAAGGCGGCCCTGGATGAGATGGATTGATATAGTAACTGGAGCAATGGGAGTTGGTGTGAGACTGGCCCAGGACAGGGAGAGGTTCAGAGCTGTTGTACACAGGGTCACTATACATCGCAGGCACCTCAATGGCACATAACAATAATAACATGCTTTGATAGGTTTGGAAGCAGGGTGGGGGCATCCACTTCCTAAATAACGTGCCTTCGGAAACTCTGTGAACTTTCACAAATGTTGATGGTTGTAGAGGGGCTTCAGGCCTTTTGTTCATGAGGTCACTATGCGTTGTGCTCAACTCAAAGGCAAAAGAAAAGATGGTCATTAATGCTGTTTTAAACATGACTCTGAAATATTTCATAATTCAGAAACATTTGAGCACTTAGTCTTTCCATTAAGAATTACCTGGAATGTTTCATATATTTTTATGATTGTATGCAGTCCCTCAATATTTATTTTTAGTTGATACCAGGATAACATTTCTTCTTGTAAGCTCCTGATGTGCCAGACCTTCTGTCATATGTGATACCATTTGAGTCACTTACCTAAGAACTTAAAAGGAGGATACTGTAATTTCCATTTTACAGTGGAGTTACCTGAGACATAAATTATTTTCCCAGGATCACATAGGTATTTTTGAAAACAGATTGACAAAATTATTTTGTTGGGTTTTTTTCTGTTATGTAAGCATATTTGATGGAGCTTACCTTGATTAAGACACCACATTAATGATTTTGAGTTGTAAACAGACCAACTAATTTTAGTCATTTGTATTATTGTTTCAAATATGCCCTACTACTCAGCATTTCTATCTACATATGTTTCCTGTTTCTCTGTAGGAAAAGGCATTTCACTGGCACACAGTGTTTTGTACTGTTCAGTGCTTTGGTTGTTAAATATGTTAATTAGGTGAATTTTTTTACTGCATAGTTTCTGATAATACTGCTACATTTTCCAAAGCAGTGTGTAGTTCATGTACCTATCACATTCAGGCCACAGTTCTTCAGTGATACCTTTCTTAACAGTCTGTCCCTACACAACTGTACTTGCCAAGCTTAGTGCATTCAAATACTTTAATTTATTTGTTTTGGACAGTATTACCATATATAAACATATAGCCACTGTTTTATATATTCCGAGCTCATTCAAAGCCATGTATGCTGTAAATGTGCTAGTCTTTAGAATGACAAATAAATAACTGACTAGAACATTAAAAAAAAAAAACACACACACACCTGTTGGCCCAGTAAGCAACAATAGCAAATTTCAACAGGGCAGTACACAACAAATGCTGGTGAATTTGTGGGGAGATTGGAACTCTTACTGCTGGTGGGAATGTAAAATGTTACAATACTATGGAAAGTTGTCTGGTTCTTTTTCAGAAATTTAGAAATAGAAATACCATTTGACCCAGCAATTGTACTACTAGGAATATATCCTAAAGACACCAGGGCTGCCTCCCAGATAGATGTATGCACACCCGTGTTTATTGATGCATTATTCACAATAGCAACAGGATGGAAGCAACCCAAATTCCCATCGACAGATGAATAGATAGAAAAAAAAAAAACCAAGAAAACCTAATGTATATTCACACAATAGAATACTGTGCAGCACTGGAAAACCAAGGATCTAATATTACACAGCATGGGTGACCCTCGAGGACATTATGCTGAGTGAAATACCTCAGTCACAAAAGGATAAATACTGCATATACGGTTACAAAATGACTTACATGGGGGTTGCAGGGAAACTGAGAAAAGAGGGGATACATAACTAACGCTGCATTTGAACAGATAAAGGAAAGAACTGTTTAAAAGGAATGCATGATTAGGCATTATCTGTATGACAGTAGTCCAGAATAAGAGGTGCATAACAAAGTGGACTGGGTTGGGGGAGAGGGAGGAAATTATGCAACAATGAATTAGTATCTTTATTTTGTTTTTAAGTGAATTTGTGGGGCATAGAGAGGAAAATGTGTGACAATGAGTGAATGAAAATCCAACTTTTCTGTAAACTTTTGTTAAAGTCCTTATAAAAAAGAGACAGGAAACCCTATATTGGGATTTGAGTGAAAGTTTATAGAGCAAATGGGTTTTCCATTTAACAAGTCATGCAGTCTTTTGTTTCATGACTTAATTCTAATGCCCTGCAGTGGAGGAGCATTCCTCCCACATCTTCCCTGTATTTCCAGATGCATTCATTCTTACTTGCTCCTTCTTGCCTTCTTAGCTTTGTATATGAACAAATACTGCCCTTTTGATGTCAGTTGATTGATTGTTTTGATGAAAGAAGGTTCATTAGTACTTTCCTGGTTTTATTGTCCACCTTACAGGCCTATCTATTGTTCAAACCCAAGTCGTCATGAACATGAGTTCAATTCTACGTCTAATTGTTGTAGAGATTGATCTCACATACTTTTGGATGTTATGAAGAGGGTTCTGGTTATTGGGGCAAACATCATGTTTCCAAAGGGAAAGGAAGATCCTCAGTGAGATGGATGGACGATGACAACAACCCTGTGAATTGGAGAGCACCAGTGCACAATCCTGTGACTGAGCAGGGTTTCGTTCTATTGTACATAGGATCTCTGAGTCAGGGCCAACTTAATGACACCAAGCAGCAACAAAGAGCCCTCAGACTATAATGGGTTCTGTTTTTTGCTGCTAAGGAGAACATCTTGGGTTAGACCCATAATCCCATTTTGGAGTTAAAGATGAGGCATTCCTCTCAAATTTTACAAGAAACCTGCCATTAGTAATACTAATAGGTTTTGATTTTTTTAGGGGCCATGGTCTTGGAGGTTCAGCTGGGCCAGAGAGTTGGATCTTTTTTTATTCTGACTTCTGTCCATATTGTTTACCCATTTCTTACAGGACCTCCTACTGTGACCCCTTTCAGGGATAGGGTTGTCAGTAGTAGCTACATAACTTATATAGTTTTTCTGGATTCACAGTCATGGAGGGTGGAAACTCAGCTGATCCAGTAATCCTTTGAGCTAATTTTTCCATGAATCTTTGATTTTCTTAATTTTGCTTTGCTTCAGCCAAGGAGAGACCTGAAAAGGCTACTCAAAAGCTTTTAGGACCCCAGTTAGCACTTGCTGAAGTAAATCTTTGTCTTTATGGACTATATTATGTCAGCTGGCTTCGGTATCCCTCAAGACTATGTCCCCCAGGGTCAGCAACTCATCTTCTCTTGGTGCTTGGTATAGCTAAGAAGTTTCTCTAACTTTATTTCTGTACTTGAGAGCACTTAACCACAATATGTTTTACAATATTTGGTGATGTAGTTATGTTGTTGTATGTGCTGTCAAGTTGCTTGTGACTCATAGCGACCCTATGTACAACAGCCCTAAACTCTGCTCTGTTCTGTGCTAATCACACTGTTTCTGACACTCCCATCCTGATTATCCCAGTCACTGAATCAGTCCACCTCATAGAGGGCTTTCCCCTCCTGTGCTGTCCCTCCAACCTACCAAGCATGATCTCCCTCTCCAAGGACCCGTCCCTCCTTACAACATGTCCAAAGTATGTTAGACGGAGACTCAGAATCCTTGCCTCCAAGGAGCCACCGATTTAACCCTTTCCAGGACAAATCTGTTTTCTTAGCAGTCCATGGTACCCTCAATACTCTTCTCCAGCACCACAGCTCAAAGGCATCAGTTCTCCTTCTATCCTCCTTAGGCATTGTCCAACTCTCTGATGCGTAACAAGTGATAGCAAAGACCGTGGCCTGTATCAGACGCACCTTCGTCTCCAGAGAGACACCATTACTCTTCAGTACTTTGGAGAGGTCCCTAACAGCAGACTTTCCCATCACACTATGTCTTTTAATTTCCTGGCTACTGGTGCCGAGAGTGTTGACTGTGGAACCAAGCTAACTAAAGCTGTGAACAATTGACATTGAGCCTCAATCCGTATTGGAGGCTGCAGTCCTTGACCCTCTTCAGCAGACGCTTCAGGTCCTCCTCAGTTTCAGCAAACAGGGTTGTGTCATCTGCATAATGCAGATTGTTTATAGATCTTCCACCATCCTGATGCCACATTTCTCCTCATAGAGCCCAGCCTCCCAGATGATCTATTCTGCATACAGGTTGAAAAGGTATGGAGACAGGACACATCCCTGGCGTACGCCCTTCCCAATTTTGAACCATGCAGTGTTTCCTTGCTCTGTTCTGACGACTGCCTCTTGGTCCAGGTATAGGTTTCTCATTAGTACGATCAAGTGTTCTGGGATTCCCATTCTTCTGAGAGTCAGCCACAGTTTGTTATGATCCACAGTTAAATGCCTTTGCACAGTTATAGCACATTTAAATATCACATAGAAATAGTCTTCGTCAAACTGATACATGTTCATGACCTGTGTTGGCTAAAGGGATATGGAGATACACTGCCAACCTGAAAGCAAACAGTTGGAATCCACTAGCTGTTCTGAGAGAGAAGAAAATAGGCAGTCTCCTGCTGCACCAGAGGGTCAGCTATGAGTTGGTTCCAACCTGATGACTCATAACAGTGTGGACCCTTATACTTTCCCATCCTATTCAGCTTGCCTATGGGTAGACTATTGTTACTGCATTACCAGGGTTATCTACAACATTTACCTCTGATCCCTTAAGCACTTTTGCTCTTTCCATTGCCTTCCCTTGCCTCGATCATTTTGTGCAGGCCTACCCTTATTATATCTTGCCCTTTTTTTCCCTAACCCATGTTATGATATCCGTACACTGTAGCCTTCATAGCCTTCATTCCCCTTCCATTTTCCTGGGACACTTCTATTTTGCTTTCACATTTTCTTTTATCTCTCAAAAATATTATTTTTTGAATTTTATACTTGTATGTCATTAGTATTTTTTTCCTTAATCTACTGCGATACTTAACCACCTCAGTTTTTACATTCCTGCCTTTCATATATATGGAGCCCAAATGGCTCTGTAATGTGTTACATGTTACTACTAAAAACAAGATCAGTAGTTCTGATCCACCAGGTACTCCGTGGACAAAAGATGGACAGTCTCTCCTGTAAAAATTCATAGCTTGGAAAACCCAATGGAGGGTCACCAGGAGTCAAATCTGTGGCAGTGGATTTAGATTCACCCTCCATGAACACATATACACACACTACCTCTTTTCCCCTGACCATGTGCACCCATGGTCACAGTCATACTTTTTTGTCCATCTTCTACATATTTCCTGTTACTTACTCTTTGAGAAATGAAGCTTAACTACGAAGCTATTAAGAGACTCTTCAGAGAAAATGATTTCTCAATTCTGTTTAACTCCAGATATTTGTAGAGCAATTGAATTGTTGGAAAAACTACAAAGGAGTGGAGAGGTCCCACCACAGAAACTTCAGGCCTTACAAAGAGTTCTTCAAAGTGAATTCTGCAATGCTGTACGAGAGGTGAGTAAGCCAGGTAAAATTCACTAATTATGTGATCAGAAAAAAATCAGATAATACTAGGAAATTTAAGTTCAGTAATTTTTTTTATTGGTTTGCTTAAAAGTTTGTATATATTGTTTTGATACAATCATTCCCATGCATTATGTTGGGTTTGGGGTGTTGTTTTTTAATAGTGAATTTTTTTTTTATTTTAATGGACCTTTACAGATATTTTGGATTTCCTTTCATTACTTGTTGTATTTTTCTCTCTTCTTCCCTCCACTCCACCCCCGCCAAGGCCACTCCACTACCATGCATTATGTTTTAGAAAATTAATTGCCATTGGACCTTGCCCATCATTACCCTATCTCGTCAGGTCCCCACCACATCCCTTCTCATTTGCTTCCCCCCCACCCCACTCCCACCTAAATTGTACAACCCTGTGGTCTCACGTTCAGAATTTTTTTAAGGAACTAAAATTGCCTTTATTTAAACAAAAAACCAAAAACATTAAAATCACCCCTCTTATGTGGAAAAATTGGAATTCTCATACACTGTTGGTGGGATTGTAAAATGGTATAGCCACCCTGGAAGACAATTTGACATTTCCTCAACAAGCTGAACATAGAGATTCCATATGACCCAATTATATTACTACTAAGAAACTACCTCAAGAAAAATAGAACTGAAATACAGAAATGAAGATTTGTACACCGATGTTCATAGCAGTGTTACAATAGCAAGAACATGGAAACAGCCTAAATATACATCAACAAATGGCTGGATTGAGAATTTGTGGTATGTTCACAGGATGGAATACTATGCAGCACTCAAGAGTAACCTTTTTTTTTTTTTAAAATTGTAGGGAGAGTGTGTGTGTGTGGTCAAATCAGATCTGACTGGTACAGGAGGAGATTGAAGAGTAACCATTTTTTAAAATTTGGAAACACTAGAAAGCATTATACTGAGTGAACTAACTCCTCTTAAGGGCAAATACTGCCTAAGACCATTATTGTACAAACAAAAGATAACTAGTAATATGCGTATGGATATCCAGAAAGGGAGGGGAAAAGGGGGGCTGAGAACGGAGAGGGGGCACATCACAGGGTTGCAGAATTTGATGGGTGGAGGTAGAGGGTGAAGAAATAAGGAACAATCCAGTAGGAATCTGAAAAGACTGGGTAAAAGTGGGCATATATAAATAATGATTAAGTCTGTAAGACACAGTGTATGGGAATGATTGTAACACAATGTGAATGAAAAAATAAAACAAACACCCCTCTCAAACTTGCTATTTCTACCAGAAACCCCTTCTAAAGATATGTAACTTGGCTGAAAGTTAACCTCAAAAAGATCTCTGACATGGTGTCTTCTAAAACTTAAAATCATAGTGTTAACTTTGGATTTTACAGGTGTATGAACATGTTTATGAAACTGTGGACATCAGTAGCAGTCCTGAAGTGAGAGCTAATGCAACTGCAAAGGTAGTACATTTTTGTTGTTTACCAAAAGCGAGATCATTTTTTATAAATTAGATTTTAAATAAATATATTCAAAATACTTCTTTTTAAAGCTAGTGTAGTATCTTATTTTTTAAAGCATAGTGTTCTAAACTCGAGTACTAGGATAAGTTTTTTACACTTTGGGAGATTTTATGATGTTTGAATAATGCATTAAAAATGTATTTGCTTGCAAGTAATAATATGCATATACAGTATATAATTGTGTTATATATTACATATCTAGAATCTGCAAATTTTAGTCAAAATTCTTTTTCTCCAGAGCCTTTTTTCTATTTAACTCGGCAGATACAGTATAATGCTTTAATAGATTGCCTTTTTGGAGCTGCAGATGGAAAGTATTGTGTGCTTTTCCACACCAGTTTTTCCTCAGGGGAGTTTTGGTGGTACAGTAGTTAAAGCACTTCCATGCCAGTCAGAAATTATGCTGTTGAAGGCCACCAGGTGCTCTATAGGAGAAAACTGGCAAGGTGCTTCTGTAAAGATTTCGCTTTGGAATCAATATAGAGTAGTTCTGTTCTGTCTTAGTGTTTCTGTGAGTGGGAATGAACTTGAAGGCAGTAGTAACGTTTTTCAAGTCGTTTCTTTAAATAATTCAGACATCGATCTCTTATGGAGTAAGCAAACACAGGAGGTGACTTACATTAGAATTGTTAAAAAATTCGAACTTCTTGTTGCCTTCGAGTCAGAACTAACTCATCATTAACCCTCCAGCAAGTTTTTGGGAGCCATGAATCGCAGAGGAGGAAATTACCCATCTTTGTCCCATGCAGCAGCTAGTGAATCCAAACTGCAAGCCTTTGGGTGGAAAGTGCAACTCCTTACCCACTAGGCCACCAAAGCTTCAGATGATTTTTCACTGATATGGAGTCCCTTACTGAATGGCTCGATGATTAAAATTCTTTGCTGCTAACTGAAAAGTTGTCAGTTTGAACCTACTAGCTTTTCCATGAACAGTATAGCAGCCTACTTCTAGTGATATTTACATATGCCTCTATGGGGCAGTTCTGCTCTGCCCTATAAGGTTAGAATCAGCTTAACAGCAACAGATTAGTACGTTAGCTGAGTGACGCTGTTAAAAAGTTGAGTAACTTTACAGAATACAATTTTCTCTTCTAATAGTTCTAGCAGCTGACAGTCTAAATCAGGGTCAAGTCCTTGCCAGATAATCCTTTCATGGCAGTTGACCCCTGAGATTCGTTGGCACTGTTAAGTTGACACCTCTCTTGTACATGTCTAATCTACATATTTTTCTGTGTATGACTTTATTAAAGTTTGTGTTTTACAGTGTGACTCATTGACACAAAAAAGAACCCTGTTTCCAAATTGGATTTGGGTTATGTTTGTAGACATTCTAAATCCCTGCTTTCAAGTCAATTCAGATGCATACCCCTTCCATTGGGTTTCCAAGGCTGCAGATGTTTACAGGAGGGGATTGCCCATGTTTATTCCACAGATCAGGTGGTAGATTTGAACTACAACCCTTTTGGTAATATCACAACACCTGATTTACCGTATAACAGAATTATAAGGCACGCAGTTCAGGGCCACCAACCACTCCGTGTGAGATTGATAGGCAATCTCCTCTCATGTGCTTATTGCCTCTGAAAAGCTGCTGGAGGGTCAGGTATGGGTTGGTTCTCTATGGTATGTAACAGCAGAAATAACCAGGATTTACAGATAGAAGTGTTAGGATTCTATATTTTAGAGATGGAAGACTCACCACATAAAATAATATATTCTCTGTTGACTAGAAATGTAATACGTAGATGTGGTTTAATTTAAAAATAAAATTAAAAACCACAAATTTACACACATAGTCAGACCCACTGCCATTCAATCGATTCTAACTCATGGCGACCTTCTTCAGATTTCCAGGGCACTAAATCATTACAGGAGAAGACTGCTCGTCTTCTCCTACGCAGCAGCTGGTGGATTCATATCACTGACTTTTTGGTTAGCAGTGCAGTGCTTAATATTACACCCCAGAAAGATTGGAATGAAATCTTTTTTTTTTCATCCTTGATTTTGAGTACAGAGAAAGAGAAGCCAATATGTCTTCAGGATCCCATAGGAGCTAACTCCAGGCAAGAGCAACTGGTGGCTTACTGGTAAAGAGCTGCACTGCAGTTCAATGGTATGCAGTTCAAATCCACTGATTGTTCTGCAGAAGAAAAGTGGGCAGCCTTCTCCCATGTGATTCACTGCCTCTGAAAATCAGCTAAAGGGTCAAGTGTGAGTCGTCTCTTAACACCATGGTTCTCAACATACGATAAGCAATATTTCTAGTAGTGTTTCAGCCCATTTTGTCTAAGGTTACTAGTCTAAATATGAAAGATTTAAGGACGTGGCTGTTTGAATTTTTCTGAGGTTTTTACTAGTAAGTAGGTAATCTACTATCAAGACCTCAAGTTCTAAAGAGCAAGGTTGTTGGTTTAAAGACCAAAGTGTGCTCAATCTAATCCATGGTATTTTCTTATACTTCCCATTGGAAAATGGGAAAGTTGGACAATGAATAAGGTAGACTAGAAGAACAAAGGATACCTTTGAATTGTGGTGTTGGAGACAGATACTGAATATCCCATTGACTACCAAAAGAACAGACAAGTCTCTCGGAGAAAGTGCAACCAGGTGCACCTTAGGCAAGAATGTTGAAATTTAGTCTCACTCACTTTGGACAGCTTCTCCTTGGAACCAGATAGAACCAGTTCTTGAAAAAGGACATCATGCTGGGAAAAGGTCAGAGAGAGGTGACGACCTCAACAAGATGAATTGACACAGTGACTGGAGAAATGGATTCAAGCATATCTGAGATGAGGAGGATGGTGCAGGCCAGAGAAGAGTTCAGATTTGTTGTTCTTATGAGCGTAGTTGACTTGATGGCATCTAACAAGAGGTACTTAGCTGTAGCAAAAAACCACAGCGTTCACTTTGACCTCTTTTTCTCAGTATTATTTCTCAACCCATAATATTCATTACTTTACACTAAATAAAGTGTACCAGCCAGAATGACAGTGTGGTTGTCACTACATAGATTGTAGAGGTAAGTTATATCCTACACAGAGGCCCTACAGGAGTAGGCCTGTCCAGCTCAAAGCTAAGGGCTTCTGAAATGCTGTGCTGGCTGTGTTGAATTCCTTGATGTGGAGTGTTCATATGCCCACCAAACCCGCTTGCTCAGTTCTGTGCAGTTGGGCAAACTTCTCTAAATCTTGGGCTATTCGTTCCCATCCTGTCTCAAAAACCATTTGTGAACATTCTGACATCCAAAATACACCTCAAAAGTAGTTTCTAAAAGACAGGAAAAACTAAAGTAAACATGGGTCATATTTTTAAATGTAAGATTTTCTTTCAGGCTACTGTTGCGGCATTTGCTGCCAGTGAAGGGCATTCTCATCCTCGAGTTGTTGAGTTACCAAAAACAGAAGAGGGCCTCGGATTCAATATTATGGGAGGCAAAGAACAAAACTCTCCAATCTACATCTCACGAATAATTCCAGGTGGGATTGCTGATAGACATGGCGGCCTCAAAAGAGGAGATCAACTCCTTTCTGTTAATGGAGTGGTAAGGATGCGTTTTATTTCTATTTGTTGTAATGTGCTGTGGCCACTTGGGGGTATATTTGAGTAATAGAAACAGAAGATGTTTACTGAGAGAAAACTTGTAGTTTAGCCATCTCCTCAGTGAACCTTAGGTAGTATTAGTATTTTTAAAAAATGTCAAAACAGAAAACTCTGGTGGCCTAGTTTCAAGAAGCTGCTCAGTAATCCCAAAGGGGCGTAGTTCAAATCCACCAGATGGTCTGCTGGAGAAGGAAGGGCAATCTCCTCCTGTGCCAGTCAGATCTAACGCAACAGTACACAACAAGAGGGGGCGGAAAAGTAAAAAATGTCAAAGTGTACTCTTTCCAAAATAAATTAGCATATTTAGTGTGATTTTTTTAAAAAAAAATTATTTAAATTAAGCTCTTTACTAATTAAGGTAATACATTAAAGTAAGTCTGTCCCATTTTAGTTGTGTAAATGACAGTTGCTGGATTTTCTTATTGAAATGATAGGGCATTGTAGATTGATTGCTTATATAGTTGAGAACTTGTAAGCATACATAAATATGCTAGATATTTTGATATTAAAAATGTTTATTAAAT